CAAAAGAAAGAACAGCTTAAGGGTTAGAATCTTCTAAATCGCCCCTTAACGAAGGTCCAAGCGTGAATTTTTACCACTCTTAGCATTTAAGTTCCATCAAAGAATAAGAAAAAGGAAAAAAGGTACAAAACGCAACGCTAGCTGAGTGACCCAGACGTGATTTCTTGGTACACTAAGCAGTTGTACGTTTTCTGCCACTGCCATATATGTATGTACTTATATCTCGACGTTTTCGTACCCTATAGTGTAATTGTGTTATACCACGCACAATGACTAAACGTAGAGTTCGTTCTGTATCGAACGAGACACATTAGGGAAATAGAAAAAAAAAAAGAATAAAAGGTGTCATTTCGACGGGAAGTTCACAATTAACACTACGTAATAACAACTACGTATAAAAACGTATTTTCGAAGCTGATTAAAGCTTCGAGTGTAGCAAACGAATTATCTCGAGTCCACACGATGAACGCCGATGATAATCGAATTCAGCCAGTTACGTGTCGACTATTTTCTAGAAGTTGCATACGATACACGAATATACTACGTCGATACGTTTTCCTTTAGGAGATTTAGAAGAACGATACGGACATTTCTTCAAACGAGAATTATCGATTGAATCCACACCTATTCATGTATCGTTTGTATTATCGTCATTATGTTTCCAATTCGACGTTCACATAATTTCGTGTAATAATCAACGAGAACCGACTAGGATAATAAGGAATAAAAGAGAGAGGAAGCAAAAAAGCATCATACCTGCACCAAAATACCAAAACAATTCCCGAGTACAAATCCGTTTTGGCTGAGGTACGCCCAACCCTTCCCGCCCCCCATTCTCGTTATATTAATTGTTAACGAAAAGATCGAAGGGAATTTAGAGCTAACTAGAAGTATGTACGTTTGAACAGACTGCCATAGTTAATATTATTATCGAGTACATATATTAAATAATCGTTTATTAAAGATGTGAATAATACGGCGAATTTCACGATATATGTCATGGTATATTGGGTGATTCTACAAAACTGGAATGAGCGGTGCTGTTGTAGTTTTACGGGTAAACACGAAAGATGTGGGCGAAAAAGATTTTGTATAATTTGATAACATTCATGGCAAAACGCATTGATAAAAAGTCTTTTCATGAAATCACTAGATATTTCACGATTTTTCTTCTAAAAGAGCGTGGTAGTTCAATTTTTATTCCATGTTATTCTTTACGTTGAAAAATACAAAACCCATGTAACAAAGAAGATACCCAGCGATGTCATTCAAAAAATACAGTTGTAGTCTATTGCGTGATTAACAGGAAATCGTCGCGTAATTGATTACTGAATCATGCGAAATTTTCCTGTATCCTTTCTTTCTTACATTCGTTAAAAAGGAAATACTTGTTCCAGTTCTTTAAATGACTGCACGATGAAGCATAGATGTCGAATTTATTGATCCACTGTCTTCCACAATAAATGATCAGCACTGTCGGAAGAATTTTAGGAATTCCACGAAAAGGCACGCTTTACGGTAATATTTGTACAGCCGTATGATCAAAATTTCCATAACAGTAGCGCGAATCGTAATAAATAAAAAAAAAATAAACACAGGAGGATCATCATTTTGCGTTTGTAAAAAAAAGGAAAGTGAAGCAGGCGACTTGCCTTCGCATTGACGAACAATTTTTAAACGTTTAATTGGAAATGTTCGTCGGTGATTATTAAACAATGACTGTTTAAGGACTATAACAGGAGTACGTTACGAGATCAAATGTATCTTGTTTTGTATGTATATTGATTATAGTCGAATAATAGTTTATGAATTAACGCGTAACAATCTCTTCCCATATTATTAGATACGTTCTTATTTTTCCTTTTTTTTTTATTTATCCTCGATGTACACCGCATTTATTCTTTTCGATAATTATGCCATTGAAACAATTCTTTTCAAACAATTCAACATTTACAAGCATATTATTGTCCCGTTATAAATATATAAATTCGACAGAGTAATCGAATTTGCGATCTCGAAACCCGTGGTTCATTTAACTCTTCCTTTTTTTGCATGTTCTCGAGGGCAGAATAAGTAAATGTTCTAGACGCTAGCACGGCGAAACAACATTGTACAGTTTCGTTAAATAATTTATTAGCACGTGTCTCGTTTAATACTATTAATGTGTAGCTTAATGTAGAAATGATCATTAGTACCAGTGTACGGCAATTATTTAAATATATTAGATCCATCAATAACAATGTGCAATGTTCATTCTAAAATCCTTCTATTTTCTAATCTTATCAAAGTTTGAGTACACAATTCCAAAATACAAAGTGTTCCTAAAGAAAATGATCTTAAGAGAGATAGCAAAAGAAATAAAAAGGAGTAATAAATGTTACTCCTGTTAAGATGATGTCAAAAATGCATATTTAATCAGATAATCATTATAACAACTTTTTAATGTAATTATCATTTTCTCTTATCTCAAATTCAATTTACTTGCAATCGTGGAATTTCCTAATTACTCTTTATATATGAATGTATTTGTGAAAAGTAATTGTTTTAAATACTACTATTTGCACAATATTGATGTATTCGCTAGATTTCTAAACAATTTTTATTTTATTAAATGTGCACTTTTAACACCATATCTTTAAAACACTTCTTATTTCACTTTATTGCTTCTATCACTTTCCTTAAAAGTCCATCCTTTTCAGAGACACCTCTTACATCCTTTTAGGAGACATCCTTTTCCCATGATCATTTGGTAATACTAATATAATTAGGTTTATAAAATGCTATTAATAAAAATGATTTTACAAGATTTAGTCATAGAGTTTAAAGATTAAAAGCATGATAGTGTTAAAATGCCTATTATTTAATATTTTGTTGGATAACCAACCACCTATTGACATTGTGTCATCAAGTCACTCTTAAGATGAATCCCATAACGCCGAAAAACAAGTTACTCATCGACCGCTGACTGTCTCTTCAAAGTCCTGTCCAACAATTCGTTACCAGAACCAAGTTCACCTCCTCCCCCAAATCCTTTCCTTATAAGTACACCCAAAACATCCCTTACGTGATCATAATAGAAACCAAGCGAGTATAGTAAAATAATTACTCACGAAAGTTGCTTAATAAAATTATATTTGTTTAACCGATAACGCTTAAACGTAGAAAGAAAGTCTACGACAAAAAGCCCAGTGCTTTTTTCGGGGCTCCCTTAAGTAGCCCCTTTTCCCTGGGAAAGTCCCAGGAAGTAGGGACGCGGGCCTACATTGCCGAGGCAATACTCTTGTCTCCGAGGATGAAGAAACTTGGAGATGTTTGGAAAAACATCTATCGATTCTTCGCCTCGAGGGTCAAGAGTCGCCAGGCCTAAGTACGTACGCCCCCCGTGGGGGTCGCCACAGCAGAAAACTACGTCTCTTCCCTTCGTGAAGTTCGCGCCTTGTAAATTCGGAATCCGCGAGTATAAGTGTCATCGTTAAAATAAAAGTTATATTGTTAAAATATAATCGATATCAACTTTCCTCCCCGAATTCCAACAATTTATTATTGGTTGTAACTTATATTAAAAACAAATTCAGAACTAAACTATAATAAAAAGCATGTAAATAGCTTATATCAAAATATTTTACAAGATAATTTTTTTTAGATTTTACAACACCTGAATTAAATTAACAGGAATCTGAATTCTTCAATGATTATATGTACATATACATACAGGATGTCCCGTAACTCCTCGAACACCCGGAAATGGGGGGTTGCTGGGGTGACTCTGAACAACTTTTTCCTTTACCAAAATATTGTTCGAAGCTTCATTTTTGAATTATTAACGAAAAACAATGACCAATCAGAGCGCGCGTAGAGCTCGCGCTCAGGGACGCAGAACAGAGGCTCACCGCGCGCGATCGAACAAATGCGTACGCGTTAAAAACGACCTTCGCTATTTTCTTCACGATTCGACTAATTGCAGTTTTTTCAAAAATTTATACAAATGTCGGAATGACGGCAAAAACCTATTTCTCTAAGCCTTATAAAAAAAAATGCAAAGTCAAATTTTTTTGAGAGCGATCGATAACCGTGAAGTCACGCGTACGCATTTGTTCGATCGCGCGCGGATGAACCTCTGTTCTTTGTCCCTGAGCGCGGGCTCTTCGCGCGCTCTGATTGGCCAGTGTTTTTCGTTAGTAATTCAAAAATGAAGCTTCAAATAACATTTTGGTAAAGGAAAAAGTTGTTCAGAGTCACCCCAACAACCCCCCATTTCCGGGTGTTCAAGGAGTTACGGGACACCCTGTATACATATATGTATGTACATACATATATTGCAACAAATAACTGATCATAAAATTAAAACTTGAAGTATATCTTTCATTTTTGCGACAAAATAACTTATTTATTTTTGGTGATTTAGATATCTAATATGTATCTTCGTTACGCAATTTTATCGTATCAATTTCCGGTGGCATGAAGTAAATTAATCTTAGAAAGGAAGTTTCGCCACTTGACAAAGTACTTAAGTAACGATTGAAAGTTTTCCTGTGATAAAAGTAATCTGTTATTTATTAATTGATATGTCAATTGATATGTCACTGTATTTTTCCGTTCCTCTTATATTAAATGATTACTTTTTAAGTAATACTTCTAAGTTCTTATTTTCAAGGAACATTAAACTTCATTGACTGAGCCAATTCTACATACATACATATTTAGGGATCTACTCATTCACAATAAAGTTTGAATGACTTTTATTAGTCATATTCAAATGCTATTTATTAATAGATACCATAAATATTTCTGGTTTACAGTAGGACCTCTGTTATAAGAATACTCGTTATTTGGTTATTCTATTATATGAACAGTATATTTCCTATTACAGTACTGTATGTAAACATACAAAATATTTACATATATACTTGCTTTTATAGGATAAAATCTATTCACAATGATTTCTTTAATTTCGTTAAAAAGGAGGATTGAACAATATTGTCTTTTTGATTTTGTATTCTATGTATGAAGTTATCTACAAACAAATTGTATTAATTTTATTTTATTTTGTCTTAAGTATTATATATAATCCAAGTACTAAACACTTGCTGTTCTATTATGTGAAAATTCTCTTATGTGAACACTTTTGTCCCTCAATTAGTTCATACAACAAAGGTTCTATTGTATTTGAAAGACATACAAACTTTCGTGAATAAATGGTAACAAGGCAGGTTACTATTATACAAACACATTTTACAGTCACTAAGATATTATCATTCTTGAACAAAAGTATCACTTAAGAACAACTTTACATCTACAATATCTGAAAGCTTTTCACTTTTTTATGATAACGTAATACACCCTTTACATGCATTGTACTTTGGAAAGGAAAGTACATTTAATAATATACATATATAAAACACATATATACACATATATCTGTTAATCTTAAAATGTATATAATCATATACACATTTGTCTGTATCTTCTGTCCTACAAGACATTTTGTCTTTCATTATTAAATTGTAAGTATTTAAGATGAAAATTTAGCAATATACTTTGACTTATTTTTTAATCATTTATTCATGATAAAAATGTAGCAATAATATGAGATTTACATATACTTATATACTATAACTCTAAAAATACAAAATTCAATGAACAAAATCATATTCCTAACCACTATGCTTATATTTAGCTTTCAAATTAGATTGAAAAATTTAAAAAAGATTGCTAGTTCCTAATAAGAATATAATTTTATTTAAGTATTTGTTAAATTAAAATCAATTATTTACTATAATTATTTTTCAATATTTAGCACTCAATCTGTAAAACACAAGCAATAATAAACAAGTCGTATCAATTTTTTAATAGACATGAATTCTACACATGCTAACACACTGTCGTTTTTCTTTTAATTTTTATTAAACTCAAGCTTTATTAATACTGTAATTGCGAATTAAAACTAATAATGAAAATGAAAAACAGAAATAGAAAAACATTAATACTTTTTATGATTGTGTCCGTATTTTAAACAATCATTTCACATTTTAAATAATTAAAAGAAAATGCAACGTACTCTAACCCTTCCAATCTTTTTAAATCATCAATTATATTCTATGTTCACGATTGTTTAACACCCTGCATAGATGTCGCCACTGCTATAAAATCAATGTTAAGACGATAGTTTACTTGAATTCTGTTATATGCTTTACATGTTTTAATATAAGAACCTCTTTATAAAGTTCTTAATTTATTTATTATAATAATAAAATACATCAATTCAATCGTGCGACATCTTTTAAGGAAGGAGCTACGTTGAGCTCGGGACTCTGATTTCCTTCTTGACTTTCTTCAAACACGGATTTTGGAATTTTTATATGCCAACTTGGTTTTCTAATAGATGTCATTTTTTTCTGAATTTTTAAAGAACTTCGTGATTTACGCTTCGCTCTTACTTGCTGTTGTTGTAACCGCTTTTGAATAACATACCGATTCATCTGTTCACGCGACAGTCTTTGCAACATAACTTTACATTCTCGAGTATTCTCAGTTACAGGTTTTACAATGTTCACTAAATTGGTCAGTGTGCATTGCCTTTTGTCGTCATTAACGGAAAGCATTTTACGCTTATCTAAATTCGCGTTTCCCTTAATTCTTATCCTAATCTTTTTACTGATTGTCATATTCTTCTGCTTGAATTTAGTATTCAATGTTTTGCGTTTTATTGGTTTAATTTTCTTTTTTCGCTCTTCCTTATTTGCATCTGTTATTTTCTCAGGACTAACCATATTTACTTGTGTATCCAATTCATGGTATTTTTGTCTCATAACAGTTAACTTACTCTGACCCTCTTTTATTTGCACCTCCATTAATTTGACCTTTTTCTTCAATGCCTTTTCATACTTCTTCTCATAACGTTTTATTTCTTTTCTGATTTGTTGAAACTGTGCCGACAAACGCCTCTCTTCCATCATTAGCTTTTGGATTCTTTGACTTCTCGTTAATTCCGCTTTCGATTGTAAGTTCTCGTTTGTAACGGTATACAGATTTATTTGCTTCTTAAGCATATCAAGTACTGTACGAATTTTATCTTCATCGCTAGTTCCTTCCACATTTACATTCTCTTTCATCCTTGCCTATATAAACTTACACCGACTTTTGGATAGTCACTCGTTTACTGGCTAACATAACCTTATAACTGCACTTATCAATACTACCGTTAGGTGGCTACAAATAGCAGACAATTCTCGCAAGTTCTTTAGCGATATCTACATTCTTATACAGCAGTCACTGAAATCAACTATATTTATGTCTACAAGAAAAAAAAAGTGATTGCATAGAGGGTAATGTGAATTAATGTGTATAGTGTTTCAGGAATTTGTTCCTGGAAGGAATGCGGGGTCCGATTGGGTCGTATCCCCATAAAGGCCACATTTTCTATCACAATCATAAAAATAAAGGCCCACGTGTATTATCACTATTGGCGGAACGCGATAACATCGACGAATCAGATCATGTAACACTGTGTGGAGGAAGATACGGGTGGGGCGAGGAAGTACCCCTCTCTTGTTCCTGTGCCGTCCAGGGGGCAAACTCCTAAGCTCTATACAAAGTAACACTCAACACTACTTGGTAAAGGAACATCGTTCCTAGGAACGCGTCCACGGCACTTACCCCGAACAAGAAACAAAACAAGATCAATTACTTTTATGTCTACAGTAGAATTGATAATGTGTTTTGTAGGTCTTGTTTAACAAACATTTTTTGTTTTTGAAACATCATTTGCAGTTATTTATAGTCTCTCAACTGTTAGAAGATCATCCATTTACATTGTAAGTTGCTATATAGAAGACCCCTTGAATTGTGCCTAATTTGTTGATTAATTAGGCAATTGATTAACTAAATTGAATAATTAATTATCGCTTGTATCGTGAAAAATTAAACACATCTAAGTTGAAAAAATGAGATTGCACTTGTTAAGTATTTAAGAAACGTACAATGTGCATTATAGTATCGAAGTTCTCAATACTGAAATTAATATTAGGTCATCGTAAAAGTTACAGTTAACTCATTTTTATGTAAAATAATTTCCATAATGTTCGATACACTTTTGCCAATGTGTTACAAGAGTATCACTTCCGCCTATACAAAAATCCGAATCTCTAAGAGAAAGAAAGACGCAAATGAATCTCCCCGATCCAAACCTGCTTTACATCCGAAAAAAATTATGCTTACAGTTTGATGATCTGCTTTGGAATTAATTCACTATATGTTCCTAAGACCGGGTACCAACTATCACTGCAGAGTCACAGATGTTAGTGTCAGCTACTTTGCAGGGTCACGCGCGGGTCGGGGGACTTTACTCTAGTCCAGTGATGGCGAACCTTTTGAGCTCGGTGTGTCGAAATTCTGAAAAAACCTAGCTTAACTCGAGTGCCGTGTCACATCTAGAAATATCCATAATTATTGCAAGCGTTACGACCTTGTACGATCACGAACTCGCTATGGTTCAGCTCCGAATTAACGATTCTGAACCTCGTTGATAGAAGATAGACACAGTTGTTTTTCGTTGTTGTTTGTGTGAGGATTATTTGTGGTCTGCTCGGTTTCGGCTGTGAGGTGACTCAAGTCGATGCGTGTCACCCAAAATGTCTTGGCGTGTCACCTTTGACACGTGTGTCATAGGTTCGCCATCACTGCTCCAGTCTTTTATAAGCCTTGGCGCCACCGATGACCGGAGCCCTATGTTTGTCAATGGGCATCGTTTCGGCCGCAGCATCGAGAGTCCATCAATGGATTTGCATTTGTTATATGTGTAGATTCAAGTCAGCGACGAGAGATAGACGCTCTACTGTCGATCGCGAAGGAGCGCGTACCGATAGCCGATGACCTGACGTTATCCCGAAATTGAATGTTCTAGAAGGATCTGGCCTCGGAGACAGGAAGGCGAGGACGCCTTCTAGTAAGAGGACTGTGAAAAACAATGCAACACTTACCCCAGAACTTCAGAATAGATCAAATCTACGTGTGAGCCCCTTCACTCGTATCTATACTCTGTATGAGCCATTCCACGCCAAATCGATCACTTTCGACAACCTGTCTTCCGATTTTGATGAAACTGTAATATGTTGTAGTCTATGTGAATTAATGATGAGTTTATGTCATCATTTTGTTGGCTTCCAAGTTATTAACAAATTATAACATGTTGAAAATCGCAGGTTTTTTGCCAAACATGACTGTCTAAACGAATTTTTATCTCGTAAACTACTATACTTACAGAAAAAAATTTTCTTTTCGTTTACATTGCAAAAGATGGTGCTTTCTAAGTATATTTTTAATTTTGTTGCACGCACGCATTTTCAATATGGAAATTGTAAATAAATTTTTATTTTGCAAAAACGAGAAATTTGTCATGTTTTTATGTGCGAACTATGGATCGAAATAGGGGATCCTACGTGTTTTTTGGAATTTTTTCTTTTCTACAACGTGCCTTTGGGGAAGGGTCAGACTTTCCGATTTTTCACGGATTTTCCCGATACATAATTAATATCCCGCTGATGCTATTATTAAACAGACTGTAGTTATATATTTTTCATTATAAAGTGTTTAAACGTTCATGTCTGAGTATGTTTGAAAATATTTCTTGAACGGCATAAAATAATTCAGTTTTCAACTACTTTTCAAAAACGGTTCGACACTATTATAACGTAAATCGATGTAATTCAAAATAAATGATTTCAGCATTTTCAGACTTTGGTTTTGACGACGTTAATAGTTAGTACCACATGATGTATTAATATGATAAATTTGAAAAGTTAGAAATTTCGATAACGCTGCTTTGCACAGGATACATTCAAACTTAAGTAGACACTAAACCCTCGTGTTATTGACAAAAATTATTACCACGTTTGTTCGAACCTAACAGAGCTATCTTTTATCGTGTTATGAACAGCAGATATTGATGAGAATTAATTTAAAATCGTGATAAGTAACCGCGATATTAGATAAAGATTTTATGTCGAGATTTTCTAGGAAGATTGCAAATATCTCTGAAAGAATAGCAAAGTTTGAATGAAGTAACGTAAGTGACAACATTAGCTCCAAACATTACTTTTACAATTTATACAGGATGGCTCAGAGCTAAATGGGATCATCTACATATCTGCCTTATTTGCTGTTGCATGAAAAACGTTCTTAGGACAAAGTTAGACTACTTACGTGTAATCGTGGTAACCCTATTTTTCTTTCAATACGCTTGTAGCAACTGAAAAAACAAATCAACGACTTTAATAACCATATCATTCCCGTCGTTAAATTTCGAGATATTTGCGTCTGAAGGTAATTGAAATTTCCTAAGGATTCACGCGATACACTGATTCACACATTCGTATCCAATCACAAGCGGTAACAGAAGATACTTTTACAACTCACTGTGAATTTCGGCACGAAATCCGCGCGCGGATGAACCTCTGTTCTCCGCCCCTGAGCGCGGGCTCTACGCGCGCTCTGATTGGCCAGTGTTTTTCGTTAATAATTCAAAAACGAAGCTTCAAATTACATTTTGGAAAAGGAAAAAGTTGTTCAGAGTCACCCCAGCAACCTCCCATTTCCGGGTGTTCGAGGAGTTACGGGACACTGTATAGGATTCCATTTAAAAAAAAAATGACAATAACCTTGAAATCTCGTAAAAAAAATGACCTTGTCAAAAAAACTGTTACCACGATTACGTGTGCCCCCTGAAATACTGTAACTTTGTCCTGAGAAGTTTTTTCGTACAACAAATAAGGCAGACATATAGGTGATCCCATTTAGCTGAGCCACCTGTATATTTAAACAAGTGATTGGTTTTACTATTATACTTCTACTGTTTCTTTGCAAATATTAAAACTTTCAAGCTTCAGAAAATATGTTTTGCAACCGATTATTAGATTTGCATTAACTGCAGCTAATAAGTTAATGATATTTTCTGCACTTAATGCGATTGAGTCAAAGGTTAGATTACCAATATGGCACAAGAATTTCGCGTGTTTCGATCACTTTTTCCTTCTTTTTATCATTCGCCTGGTATTAGTAACATATCCGCATATGTGTAAAAATTGTGTCTTTTTCAAAAAGAATTTCATCCCAAAGTTTACAGTAGTTTTATAATTCTGCAATAGTAAATAATAAAATAGTATTTAATTTTCCTTTCAATCCTCTACGTCAATTGTTAGTTTACCTCTTAAAATAAAGAACATAATGCAATTAGCAAAACAACATGGAGCATTTTATCTGGAAATTGAAGTAAAATAATAAACGAATTTTTATTGACATAAGAGTGTTTCGTTGCTTAGGAAGCTTGAGGGGAATAATCAAGAAGGTGTTATTCCAGAAACTGTGACACAATAATTCTGAAAACACATGTTTCAACAAAGTCACAATAAACAAAGAATGAGTAACCGCTTTTAATTGGATACATGCACAGATGGATATCAATATCGTTTAATCGATTGAATCGAATCACTTTTACAACATGGGCGTTTTCCATTGATATAATTATTCTAAAAGTGGAAACACATACAGTCCACGACGTTTCATTCAATACAATAATATTTTTTTAACATTACTCTCAACTCAACCTAAAATTAATAAATTCTATTTTTTCACAATAATAGATCCTATTTGAAGTAACTACATATATGCATTTATTTTGGGCAATTACTTATTTAGCATAGAAATATTCATGTTTTATAGAAGAAAGTATTACCTATAACTGTGTAAAATTACAATTATTTATTTGCTAATATTATTATAATTAGAGAATCTAGGATAGAAATGTTTCGTGAATATTTTTTTAAATTTCTTTAAGAGCGACCTTTCCCTCCTTTGTTCACTTAAATATTATACATATATGTATTCAGGGTAGACCAATAAAAATTACGACCTTCGGTATTTCCTAGAGATTACAGATGTAAGGAACAAATTATTCGAATAAATGTTATTTAGTATAAAAGAGACCTGATTTCTGCGTACTATGCTATAAATGGTGATCTCATTTAAAAACGATACTGATAACGAAGATATACAATCTATTTAAAGCATCTACAGTCGTGAAACTTTTATTTGCAAAGCATTTAATTTTTACTTAAACCATATTTTTATACCTTTTAAGGTAAAAGATATATAGTTGTGTGTTTTGTTCCTGACGGATCACCTTGTGCCTATATAATTAACAAATCATTTGCAGAGGAGCGATAAAAACAGATCGAAATTCGCCACAGATCTTTGGCCAAATAGATTTATTGCAAATTATCAGATTGCAGTGTCTAGGAGAGGCAATGTTTTGAAGAAGTAACGACTATTATCTATAATCGTCACTCAAAACAACACGATAAAATTAATCTTTGTTACGTATGTTTTTTATTGTATAATTGTCTTTGCCACGCTTAACTTGTAAATTCTACGAATTACCGTTAAAACGTACACAATTCTATAAAATTCGTGATATGGTGTTTTATCAGTGGTTTTACTGCACGGTACTCTCATGTGAACTGCGAGAAAACAACAATGTTAGTGTAAAATGTTAAATAAGTATAATTATGAAACACAATTTTTGCTTGTTCATTTCATTATAAATCTATGACTCCTAACTGATTATCAAATTTGAATATTTTATATGTTCATTTAAGGAGATACGATGAATTTTCTTTAGGAAAAATAAAGAAGTACATGTAGCATTGGATATTTGCATTATATTACTTTTATACCGATGTACAAAACCAGTTATCTGATTTCTGTTATTACTTCCAGTTCGATATTTTTATAAAATAAAGTTCAAGTTTCATTACAAGAATTAACGAAGATTTGCCGTTGATCCATAAAAGGATTGCTTCATTTCTTTATTCTGACTCATTCGTACGATAACGCAGATATCATACAGGAATCCCCCATACAGACTGTAGCAGTGAAATCATTTGTACAAGTATAACTACTGTAAGAACCTAGGGAAAAATATTGGGGAACCCCCCCACAAACGGGAGAACCGAACCCGGGACCTTCCGGCTTACCAAGCCAAGGCTTTGCGCGCTACACCAACCACTCCCTCTCTATTCTACCGTGCCGGTTTCCTATTTCTTGTGTACGGAGGCCCCGATGCTACACTACCGATTAATAAAATAAACATACTCTAAACTACATGTAGTTTCATATTTTACTCTAAATTCCTAGGAATCCTAAGAGAGAGGCAAAAATGTCTGCAACGCATTAAGTTTTAGTCTTTTCCATAAAATAATTTGTGTGGACCATCGATAATTTGTTTTCGTGTCAGAAAGTACCTAATTCTATTTAATAATTGTAAACACGATTTAGATATCGTGTTTATTCTTTTGTAATTGAAATTGAATTAAACCTTCTTAAGATTAATAATTTCAAAAAGATTTCAATTATTGTAACTTAGTAACGATTAAAAATGCTTACTTTTATGTACAATTTTTCAATGCAAAACTATCATACATAATTAAAATATAGTAAACATATGTACCATCACATGCACAGTATTTTCCGCATAAAGGCCTGCACGCTCTTTAATAAAGCGCCATGGAGAGGAACGAACCGAAGAAGTAGTTCTTAATACATATTTTAAACACGTCTCACTGTCAGTTGCAGCATATCTCTTTGCAGCGTTCCTATAAGACGTCTTTGTTTATAAAATGTTTTCTTCGTTTCTCCACGCTTCGTCTCGCGAAAATGCGTGCCTGCCTTCACGTATTTCTCTAGTTCGCTTCGCTTCACAGCGCAGCGCTTTGCTAAAGTACAGGGTGTAAAAAATTAATGGTCACGGCTTCAGGGGGTGAATCTATACCCTTGGATCGGTGGACATTTGTAAAAAGAAATTTCCGCAAAATTGTTTATAACATTGAAAATTAATGTAAAATTTTTTTTTACATCAACGTATTCTGCTCGACGAGAAGAGAAAAAGTGTGAAAGGAGTCATATGCCGCAAAAAAATAGTTTCCGAGATAAACGTTGATAGAGTTTGACAACGATTTGATTGTGTAGAGCAGAGCTGCTTAACTTCTTGCTCACGAGCAAATTTCCCCTCCCGAGGTTCCCCCACTGTGCGACCCCACACGAGTCCTCCCCCACAACTCCAGCGACTGCCTTTTGTTTATGTTACACATTCTGCGTGTTCGTACCAGTCATTTCGTACCAAAAAACTATCGCTGGAGTTGTGGTGGGAGGACTCCTCGCGTCCTCGCTGCAACTCGAGCGAGATCATCTCAGTCGCATAGTGGGGGAACCTCGGGAGGGGAAATTTGCTCGTGAACAAGAAGTTAAGCAGCTCTGGTGTAGAGCTATACGTATAGGACCTACTAACCTACTAACCTACTCTACACTGCCATTTGGTAGGATCTAGCCGTGTAGGGCACGCTCGGTATAATGATGTGCGTGCCCCTACACAAACGCAGTTTAAAGGGACAGCAAGGTATAAACTCGAAGGCAGGCCCGAACCAAACGGCGTTTGTGTAGGGCAGGCTCGGCAACTTCTTCCCCGCTGTCGCTTCACGAATTCCGCTACCAGTGTTCCGGTTTCCTCACTATCAACTATTTCATATTGCCTTTACCGTGCTTTACCTCGCGTAAATGCGAATGCATGGAATATATGCGTGAGGCGAGGATACAGCCTCCACATTTCCACTCCTAATCTCCCCACCTCCTCCAATACTCGACAGGAGTTTGGTGGGGGGGACCCAGGAGTAGGGAGAGGAGTCGCTGCAGCTCGCGAGCCGCCAGTCACCCAAGCCTGGTGTAGGGGCACGTACACTATTATACCGAGCGTGTCCTACACGGCTAGTCCCACCAGATGGCAGAGTGTTAGTAGGTCCTAGCCTATACGTATAGCTCTACACAATCAAATCGTTGCCAAACTTTAACAACGTTTATCTCGGAAACTATTTGTTTGCGGCATATGGCTCCTTTCAGACTTTGATGTAAAAAACAGAATACGTTGATGTAAAAAAAAATTAACATTAATTTTCAATGTTATAAACAATTGTGCGGAAACTTTTTTTTACAAATGTCCACCGATCCAAGGATATAGATTAACCCCTTGAAGCCGTGACCATTAATTTTTTCACACCCTATACACGCCAGCCTTAATATTCTTCGAACCGCACATCTTGGTAGTACTATACATAAATGCTATACAACAATGACGAGCGAACAACCTTAAAATATGTAACCTAATTTATTCACTGAAAAATTGTTCATTTGTAGGATAGAATTTTATTATTTTCAACATAGGTAACAATGAATACATTTTTTATCGACAAAAATCGCCATTAACTTTTAAAGAAGAATATAAACTAATGAATCTAAAAAGTTTAAATATCGAAGATTTTTATTTCATTTTAAGCAAATAAAGCGTATGTGGCCCAGAGCAATAAAATACACATAATGCATATGTATACATAATAAATAAATATATTGTAACAAAAAAGAAAATTAGCGTGACAGCTGAAAAATACCAAGGCTTTCTCAATAAGACATACATATGCGGATGTTTGCTGGCTGAAAGTTTACGAACCGCTTACTATCGATATTGTTGTTTTATTATTTGTTTACCGGTGTGTGATTTGATAAATTATGGATATTCACAACTGAATGCAAAGTATAATCAGAATATTCTTGAGATCATTATTTTTAAAATTTTCTTCCATATATTAGCCTTTATTTCACACTTAAATTATGAAGTAATGTTTTATTCTCCCCTCCACCTTTAGTCACATTCATTGCCTAAAAAGTGAAAATTAGTATATTCATGGTTTTGGCATAAAGGGAACGGTAGATATTATTTCTAGCGAAACACTATGGCCTTTTCGAAAATTATTTCATATTTAGATTCAGATATCGTGCTGTACGTAATCATTTTAGCTAATTCAAGTGGGTCGCGTAAACTAGTTCTGCAGGTTGCAGGTTGCTCATCGCTGTTGTATTGTATAATATTCTTACTAGCACAAGCTAGATAATACAGGGAAAACCGTTCACAAATCTAAAACGTACAATACATAAGGTGTCAACGGGGAAAACCGTTGTCATATTTGAAACACAAAGAAAAGTGTTATTAAAAACCTTTCGTAACGAACAGCTCCAGGAAAAAAATATCAGTTCTGTTGAATTCATGCGAAGATTACACCACAAGTTACACGAAAAGTTTTGTTTGATAAGGAATGAATTCTCGGCTGAGAAACCTAATAGAGGTGGTGAAAAATGAATCTAAAATTTGGTTGCCAAATTGCAACCGACAGTTCACGCGTTTCCCTTAAAACGGCCATAATGATAAGTTTTCAACAAAAAACATGTAGGAACTCTTTTATTTACTTTTGAATTCGTACTTCTGTTTTATAAAAAGGACACGAAAATGCACCTTTACGCCGTTGAATCGCTTTTATTGGAAATTATTGACAAATTGTACTGATTGCTTTGGTAGATTTCGTGTTAAAATAGCTTATATGATCGGTTGTTCCTGGACGCATTATCAGTAATCCCCTTCACCCCGATGAGTCAATTTGATTCAAGAGCAACACATATAAAGAGACAGGAGCACCCGTTTACCGTTATCAGTCTGCGAAGACACGTTGCACCGAGTGGATCATAATTTTACATTCCAACAAAATATGAAATCGTTCGTGTTGCTCTGCCTTTTGGTGACTTTGTGCGCCGCACAGGTAAGTGTATACACGAATTTTGATCATCGAAATTCGGCCAGTTTGAGAAGCCAGTTTCTATTTCCTTGAATCTTTCAGACTATAAAGTGATACTATGTCAGATGACATTCTTGAAAATTTATCAAATACAATGGAAAATTATTTGTTTCAAACTTTTTACCAGTTGATCCTTTATTATACTTAATATACGTTGATACTTTGTGTACATCTTAAACAAACTTAATAATGTGCAACAGATAAGTATTGTTTCACCAGCATCAAATTTGTATGAACAAGTAATTGCCAGAAACGAATAATATTGTCCAGTGTGATTTTAATATTGTTTTAACGCAATGTTTAATACATAGGTTTGCAGTTTTAAGCAGTTTCATACTTGAAAATTAAATGGTATTATTTCATTACTACAAATATTAGGTTGCCCGGAAATAAATTGCGGTTTCTGTACATGAGATTTAACGACGTGTAGTTTTGCTTAGAATGAATTTACGTTTCGCAAGAGTTCCTATTCCGTTACAATAAAAATCAGGAGTTCTAGAATTAATAAATTCCACCATGGTATTTACAGCATCCTCTTTATCGCGGAAGATTTTTTCTCGC